GTACTCAACACTGATTACTGTCAGACTTTATAATCTTAATTCAAGTGATGAAGGATTCTGAATGTTTCAATTTTAAAGGAGACATTGAATGCAAAATTCACTTTTACATGGTGTTTGGATATAAATGTATCTTAGCAGTGTGTGGACACAACCACCCTACAATGATTAAAAAATCACTCCTTTTTTTAATCCCCAAAAACATAAACAGTCTCAATTATCAAGCCATTTTTTTAGCAGTGTGATGTCATATTGCTCAGGCTCTGCCTAAACATAGTCATATAGGAAATAAGAGTTATCGAATAAGCATGTTCCAAACTCCTGAAACATTGGTGTTTCATATTTTAAAGCAGTTAATGCAATTAATGAAAGAAATGAATTAAATTTGTATGTGGGAGTGTGTGTGAAAAAAAACAAAACCGATGTAACATCATTTGTAATCCTTAACATTTTCATAAGTAACTGATTTAATTACACATCTCAGTAACTGTAACTGATTACAATTACTTTTATTTTGTAATTGCATGTTGTTACATGTAACTAGTTACTTCCCAACATTGCTTACAAATGCACAGTGCAGTCGACTGCTCTTTAATGCCTGCGGTGGTTTCTGCTCTGGTGTGTGTGTGTGTGTTTCAGCGGGTTGGACGTGACGGCTCTGCTGTGTAAGCTGGGCTTCAGTGAGTCGGTGGTTCAGTCGCGGATGGCTGCCGGCACCAGCACGTTTGTGTTAGCGTACGCCGTGCACAAGCTCTTCGCTCCGCTGCGGATCAGCATCACACTGGTGTCTGTGCCGCTGATCGTCAGACACCTCAGGAAGACGGGACTCTTCAGAGCCGGTCCAAACCGACCATAAGCTCCTCTATTCACACTCAACTCATGACACTAACTCATCCAGTGCTTTTCTAGAGCGGACAGTACCTCAGACAGACAGAAATAAAATGTGAACGCTGTGATGCTTTGGGTGGTTTTCTCAACAGAACTCGTGGTTGCTTGTTAGTTTTAAGCTCTACAGTCACAGTGAAGTCTGTTGACCGTGATTTTATCAGCTGTGATTTTTGTGAATTGAAGAGTTAATGAAGGGCTGTAATGTGCTGGTTTGTCTTATTCTAAGACAGGGCACCAGCACGTTTGTGTTAGCGTACGCTGTGCACAAGCTCTTCGCTCCGCTGCGGATCAGCATCACACTGGTGTCTGTGCCGCTGATCGTCAGACACTTCAGGAAGACGGGACTCTTCAGAGCCGGTCCAAACCGACCATAAGCTCCTCTATTCACACTCAACTCATGACACTAACTCATCCAGTGCTTTTCTAGAGCGGACAGTACCTCAGACAGACAGAAATCAAATGTGATGTGATGCTTTGGGTGGTTTTCTCAACAGAACTCGTGGTTGCTTGTTAGTTTTAAGCTCTACAGTCACAGTGAAGTCTGTTGACCGTGATTTTATCAGCTGTGATTTTTGTGAATTGAAGAGTTAATGAAGGGCTGTAATGTGCTGGTTTGTCTTATTCTAAGACAGTTGAATTGATTTAGTTCACACTAATGTTCATCACTTCTATCAGACGGGCTTTTTTAGGAGATTTCAGGACAATTTTGAACTTTGACTGTTAATTATATTGAAATTCTTATTGTGTAATATTATTGAAAATCTTAATATTGTAAAGTCAATGTTATATTTGGCTGTTTAATTATATAATAAAATGTTGCCCTATAAGGACTAACTGTTTTCTTTGTATACATAAATGTTTATGATGATTCTAGTGACTCTTTTAGTCTCCAGTTTATCATTCTTCACACAGAACTTCATTCATCATATTTAAACCATCAAAATAACAGTACACACCACAATTCATTCATGCAATTCTGATGATTATGTAATTTAATGTAGAGAAAAATTATATGATATCAATAGTTAGACCTTTCACATTTAAAAGCAAATAAATTCATCTTGTCATTTTTTTGTTACATGAAAAAAAAAGGAAACATTTCTCAGAAAAGAAAAAAAAATTTGAGATGGTGTTTGAGATAATCACAAAGACTTTTTAAAACCTCCTTTTTGTTACACATTTTGCACATTTACAACTTAAGACAGGGAACATATCAACTTTGTATGGCACACGTATTTCTACAAAAAAAAATAAAAATGATATTAAATAACGAGGAGAATAATGACAGAGAGCAAGCTTTGAAGTGGAATGGTGCCACTTTAATAAACAGGCAACACAGGACAGCATTAAAATAGTAACTATTCTGACAAAGGAGCATAAGTTTTCTTTTTTTTCCAGATAATGAAACATGACCACTAAATGGCTTCTGTTTTTTTTCTAAAGTACTTGAAACTCAAATGTTTTCACAATCTCACACAGAGCAGTTTATTAATAGGCCATTTTTATTTACTCATAAGATTTGCAGTCACCCTTGGAAGAAGATCAGAGGAATAGTCCCAATCATATTTTATTTGAAAAACGCAGTCTGAATTGACGTTGCTGATTTATACAAACCATATTTTCATATAATTTCAAGAACGTATGCATTATGACTTTCCTTGAGATACTTCTTGAGAAATAAAGCACAGCAGAAAAGAATCCAGAACATGTTTGTGTAGCAGTATCTGTATTTATTCATGATTCTGGCTTCTGGAAATGCTTTACACGGAGTAAAAGCAAACTACAACATAGTCTCTTTGTGTTGTCATTATATCAGCAGCGCACTCTAGTGCTCAAAAATGAGATTGATATTTCTGAGATATCACACAAAACTCTTGTGCAATACTGCATAGGAGAAAAAAAAAGTATGTTAAAGGGATAGTTCACCCAAAATGAAAACCTGTAACTTTTGATTATTATTTTTGTTAATTGTGCAAAACACAGTTGCAATTAAAAAAAGTTCTTATAGTCAGGGGGAAAAACTGATGAACTTTAACATTGACCTATATAAACGGGAGTTAACATTTAACACACTTTACATACATTCATGAGTCGCAGTACCTTCAGTCTCCAGCAGGTGTCAGTGCTTGATCATCATCATTCTGTTCCGATCACAATATTAATATTCCTCCATGTGTGATTAATCAACAATGAGTGTTTATGCAGAAAGAGACACTTTGAAAGAAGCAGATTTATTACGTCAAAGAGCGCTAAACATCATATATCATAGTTACTACTGCTGATTTAATGACTCCTAGTTAAATTATGCTAATTTTTATATTTACAGTATTAATCTTGCATCTCAGATGATTATTTGCACTCCATATATGACATTCAAATTAATGAAAATAATGATAAAATAGTATTCTAATGCTTGTATTCTAACTTTACATGTGCAGTGCAGATACTAGTGTATATATTTCAGAACATTGTCCATTATGGATGTGTTTCATATACAGTCTGCAGAGACACTGTGAAGCATCAGTATGTGTGTGAGTACCTGTCTCTCTCTCTCTCACGTGTGTGTGTGTGTACTTGTTTATGGTACATTGTGGGGACCAAATGTGTGTGTGAGTGCGTGTGTGTGTTTGAGAGCGTGTGTGTGAGAGTGTGTGTGTGCGTGTGTGAGAGTGCATGTGTGTGAGTGTGTGAGTGTGCGTGTGTGTGTGCGTGTGTGTGTGTGAGTGAGTGTGTGTGTGAGAGTGTGAGTGTGTGTGTGAGTGAGTGTGTGTGTGAGAGTGTGAGTGTGTGTGTGAGAGTGTGAGTGTGTGTGTGAGAGTGTGAGTGTGTGTGTGAGCGGGCCGGCTGCGTGTCTGTCCCCTGCATGGCCCTCATGGCTATGTACAAATTGCTGACAGTGATCGGCCGCTGCAGCACTGCTCATCCGGACGCTGTCGGAAAGTGCTTTCAAACCCTGCAGACGCCAGCGAGGCTCCTGGGAGCCGCTGTCTGAGGAATACAATACACAAATGTGCCAGTATTGAAAGTTTCATCCGGCAGAAAACAGCAGAATTTCCTGCAGACAGGTCTACTACGGTCAGTGTGGGAGATGGTGGATATTGGAATGTTGACCAGCTGTAGCTCGCCTAGACCGTCGCGCTACTATCTCACCATTGGACAAACTTTCTGGCAATTGGGCTAACTCGTTTTCGAGGGGCTGACCGAAATTATCTGGAGCCCCCAGCCCACTGCTAGCGGAGGACCCCAAACGCCCTGGGTCAACTGGTACCTCAACATCAGCAGCCAGAGATGTCTCTGAAACCACAACACACAAATCCCCCTGCTCAGACTCCTCGGAAACCTCCTCACCCAAAGGTGACGCCACTTCGACTACTGGGCCACGAGTGGGTGCATAGGACAGGAAAGTCCTTCTGTGTTCGAACCTTCAACATCGAACGATGCACCTGCCTCACCTTATTCAAAGCGTCTACAGGGGCAATAGAATAAACTGAACCTCCTGCTTTAGGGGCCTTCACCACCTTGTACACCACTGGGCTCCACAGGTCATGGATCTTTGATCGACCTCTCACGCCGACGTCGCAGAGATATACTAGTTGACCCTCCCACAGTGGTGTATCCCGCACATGTGAGTCATGTTGTGCCTTACAGCGCTCTGCAGCGATTCTAAGGTGCTCCCGTGCGCCTTCAAAAGCTACCTGAAGTCGGGTTTGATGCTCTATAACCTAGGCCTGGGCGATAAAACGGTATCGATATTTATCAACGGTACACCTT